ACTTTCATACAACAACAACAAGACAAAAGGAGTATGAGAAAAAAAACTTATTAGTTCGGTTCAATCGGCATCGGCGTCTCGCGTTGTTCGTTTGGCCGGTGGAAGCCACTTGACCTTCTCTACTAATCAGCATATGCAGCTGCTTTCTTTACATATTCCCGGGGGAACGGACTTCCAATGGGTGTTCTCCATAACCCCTTCAATCTCTATCGGATGCCATTCCAATGGGTGGTTTCGGCTATCCTGCCTTATGACCCTACAAATTACCTGACGTTGTAGCCAAGGGAAAACAAGCCTTTTCGCGAAATGCAAGAACCTGCAGAAACCTGCATGATGCATCCATCAACTGCCCTGCTGCCACTGCTGCTTATGATGCTTACTTCCCTATGGTGGCAGAGGTGCTACCTCACTCTACATATGCGGTATTGAATATTATCTGTAGCTGGAGGTACTGTACATGAGGAGGTACTGTACATAGCTATCCTACCAGCCTAGGTATACTTAAATTTTTACGTACAATGGGAGAAAGAACCTAAACCCCTGTTAATGTAATTGACCATCTACCAATTAGACCTCCCTCTCTCGCGTTATATCCGGATATGGTAATCCATAACCTAGACCGCCATGCCAGGTAGAACTAGACGTGTGCTACCACGTGTGGGGGAGTTTATTTTCTTTTTCTTTTTCTTTTGTCGCTTTAGCTTCGCTACGATTGCGATTTACTCGTTTTGCTTTTTCCCATCGCATGTGCTGCTCACCACGTTGCCTAACAGGATGACTTAAGACAATTCAATAGTATTGTAATCCTGCTGATGTGTTGACTACATAGCTAAGGTACCTATGACGAAGATGTTGTATAGCGATTGAGCGATTGAGCGATTCTCGCATGTGGACGTTGACTAGGGAATAGAAACAGACCTAGTATTATCGTCACTATCCGCCTCGGTGCCGAATACTACTCAAAGCAAACCCCGGCCTACAACGACTACTATCTTCACATACCTGTAGACGATTACTTCGCGCTAGCTATCTAGGAAACTAGCCTCTCCTAATCGGGCTCGTTCATCCCTCTCCCGCGCTTGTTGCCGCTTTTGCCGCACCATCGTCCTCCTCCTCTCCTTCTTGTTGGTGTTGGCGGGGGCTAGCTTCGTCTGATTCGTGCCCGCCGTGATGATGGGATTTCACCTACATCTGCAAGTTGCGAGCGGCCGGTGAAAAGGGGCTGGCTATACGGGTTGCTCTGCTTGCTTTGCCCGGGTTTCAAATAAGCAAATGTCGGCGACCCGTCATGATCGAAGGGTAACCTTACCCTACATACCGGTACCGGTAGGTCCAACGTACATACCTCTCATCCTGTCATCCGACTCATATCAATATCCGCTCGCAATTCTTGATGAATCCCATCGAAGCACTAGCACAGGAGGAAAATCCAGACAAGTCCATCAGGGCCGCGGCTTTCCATCGGCGGGTGACCATACAACCGCGACATGGATGGATTTTTTTCGTCCCAATTGATTATGTCGCGTCCACTTACGTGGGGGGGAGGGGGGGTTCTAGAAGAATGGGGGGCGCTTGTTTGCCGGTGTCCTACTCCGGCTTTCCAGAAACTGAACTAGCATCGTGTTTTCGTTTATCCTAGAGTTTTCAGCACCGACTACCATGGTACAGCACTGGATAACTGCTGGTCTCATCTGACGGCAGAAAGAATGCATGACAGCTGATACTGCGCTATGTGAGGATAGGATCGGTCATATTTTGTTGGGCAGGCTATAGCCTGCTGAACCGTAATCTGCGGCCACTCGCAACACGTTTTGTACGAGGTGCGTAGGGATCCCTACGCATGTAGTGTACTTTCCTGCGGAAGCCGCCCTCGAAAGTGCAAAACTTTTACAAGTACGGTACGGTACGGCTCGAATTTGCACCGGACAAGACGCCTCCTAGGTGAGAGCCGACGTCACAACAACGGGAAGAACGCCTAGGAAGAACCCGTTCTTGGCCTCGTTAGGTCCCGGTTCCCCAGAATCATGAACGCCCAGCCTGCACGACGGCCCACTGGCGAGATGCCGCGAACCTTGGCATCTCTTCGCCAAGAGAGCCGCATCTTGAACCAAAATGCATTATTAGAACTACATAGCTTACATACTAGCTATGGGGCCGGTTACGAACGTGGTCGATCGTGAAATGGGACGCTCTTTGCTATCACGGTTCTACGGACTTCAGAATTGCTAGCACTCTCGCTCTGTTTCGTTGCGCGATTTCATCTTAGATGAGTTGTATGTGCGTGAGATCTTTAGCTCTTGGATAAGCGTGGCGAAAGCCTAGGCCCGGCATAGGCAAGGACAGATGACTCAGTAAGTAACTGCGAGTGTGACACATTTCCTATGTCGTATATTGAAATCTCGACCTAGGTCTATGGGATGTGCCGCCGAAGTCTTAGATACTTCCTCGAGACTTTCGTCGTTTGAAGCCCCCCTACAACGACATCCCGCTACCCGACATATGCCCTTTTTGCCTTACCCGGGCCTGACCCTCCCTTACCGACTGAGGCATAATATCCTGAGATGATTGGGCTGAGCTATAATAATCCAGCATGCTTCGAATTTTGTTCTTCTACCCAAAGTGGGTGAGGGTGGGTGTCATGCGGGCATGGTAGATATGCTGTGTACGTGCGTGTTTGTGTCGGTGTGTGACATGATACATCGCCTCTGCTGCTTCGAGCTCGACGCATCGGGGCTTTATTAGTTTCTGGGGGTCCTCCTATACACATGTCTGGCCCGTCTCCGACTGCCCTGCCATGTCACCTCAGCGCAGAGCTGCCATACTACCACCTTGAGGGGTACATACGTACATCCAATATATACATGTAGTACCGACGTACATTAACCTTACATTACATTACATGCGCCCGCGCACATTGGCCTGTAAAGGACGGGACAGAGCCATATACCGGTGAATATCGCTATGGCACTACGTAGGTCGTAATACTTCATTTATGCCGCGTAACCCTCAACGGTTGCACGCGAAAAGCTTGTTCGGTCTTGGCTGTTGTTCCGCGACGTTGGGCCGGTTTGCGTCCCATGCGACGCTTGTTCTTCTCTTCGCCCTTTCTGCTGGGACGGGGAATTTGTCTGCTCAGGGGTTCGAGAGAGGCATCCCGGTGCTACGGTGCTGCTACCTACGTGCCTAGACGTGATGGGTCTGGCGGTTAGCGAGGGCTTCCGAAGGGTTATTCTCCGAGACGGCGACGAAAGGTCTCTCTCGCCTATTCGAGTGCGATGTGTGGCTCCTCCACGAGGTCGGTAGATTGAGTGGGAGCCAAGCAGCCAAGGAGAGCGGGGAGGGGGGGGGGGGGGGTTCTAAACACGGGATACGATGACGCAGAGGGGAGACCGATGACGGTTTTTGCCGTCGGGATTCTTCGCGCACGCGGTCAATGTGTAATCATAATACGGCGTGAGTGAGCTCGGATGAAGCGTGCCGAGATTTTCCAATGAATCTGAGATCTTGCGTAGACTAAAACGCTTTTCAGGGGGAAGTGTCGGGATGGATCTCAATAGCATCATAGATCACGCTACGTGTGGGTTCTGAAAACCTCCCTTACTTCGATCTCGTGATGCTTACGGGGAAAGATGCGGTGAAGATTACTGACTGCATTCTGTGGCTGCACTTCTTCTTCTCTTCTCGAAGGGTACCGAGATGATCCGGTGGCGTTCGGGTGATACCGGACGCCGGAGCACCGCCCCGGGTCGTCCCGGCTCAGAAGTCCCCTTCCGAGACATCCCGGGCGCTCTTTCCCCAGACGACATCAGAGGTGCGGGCCGGCACGTGTCGACACGGGGTAGGTGCGGAGGACGTTGATGTCAAGTCGTGGTGATTTCACCGGTTCCGGATTCGAGGTTTGTTTACGGGATCACCCCTTTCTGGATCACATTGAAATCATATGATTATGCTTTATGGTTTATCATTGGGAAAGTGTTGATCTGCTTCTTTTCTTAGTTACTGATGACTAGGGAAATATTGTTCAAACCTGATCCTGACGTGGCATGAGGACAGGAGACAACATGACACAACTCAGCTCGAAGTGCTGGTCAGATTCCTCCTATTCTAAAGCCGGTTCCGTCCTATCTCCTCATAGCCAGCTCGTTTAGATTTCCGACCGAATCGCTGTGTCTGCATCATCATGGAAGACTCATAGTTGTCGAGTAGCTGATAGCTACTTGCGGGATAATCGCGAATGAGAAACGGTATCGTATCTTATCATGGAAACTCCTCGAGGAAGATTCTCAATTGAATATCACTACGGTCATCGGATTCATCTGTTGGGAGTGAGCGCATACACGGCACGCTCGTGTCGCACTCCCAAATATAATTTTACCGAGTATTGGAGAATATCCAGGCATTTATTTCAAGCACCAGGCAATGAAGCCGTCAGTCCTAGGCATTTCGCCAAAAAGGGGTTGATGTTACATTGATTAATAATAATTGCGTGCTGGGAGGTACAAAAAGGGGAAAGGGGGGAAATAGTCAAACCATTACGGCATTCTCTTGATCTGAGGTATGACACTATTTACTAATCAGTTGATCAATCATTGTTATTTCTCTTGCAGCCTTTTTATAAAAATTATATTCTTGTAACTATCCTGAGGTCACTTTTTTACATTCTCCGAAATGGGCTAGGTATGGGTGCACTAGTTTACACTACCTATGTCTACGATAATTAGGTATTCTAACCTACCTAGATACTTCGAATGGTTCCAGGCCAAGAATTTGGTTATTAAAGTGCTCGATAGAAACCACGGAGTCCCAAATCCCCTAGTTTGCTTAAAGTACCATTTCCGATCTAATCTGGCACCAGTTTGAGCCGCGCCATGCCCCATTATGGAGCCGACCCATCTCACGAAGTCTGGCCCGTCGACTTGGAAAATTTTCTCGTTTCCATTCCTATCTGCACAGTTCAGACTTCTTAGCATCACGAGAGCTCATCTAATGGCGCTTGTCCTGGTCCCATAGCTCAGTTGGTTAGAGCGTCGTACTAATATATTCTCTCATGGAAATATTAAGTAAATGCGAAGGTCGAGAGTTCAACCCTCTCTGGGACCATCACACTTTTTTGCGCTGTCGAAGACATCTACTTGCGACAGGAATTCTCGGTAATGAATTCGTAGTAGATTCTTTGTTTGCTAAGAACATGCATGAGTGGGTATCCCGGCGATTTTGCGAGAGGCTAACAAGATAAGAGGCGGTCGTTTCAAGGTCATTTTCTACCATCATCATTATTTGGAATAACATAACTCAACATCTGCATAATATCATGACTATAAGCTTGCTTCCGTATTTAGAGTGCTGTAATGAAACATTTGTAGCTGCCAAATGGGGAATAGGTAAAAAAGTTAACTATTATCTTGTCTTTGGAGTATCTAAGCTTGAGAACTAATCGCCATCGAGACTACTATATTGATAGATTCTGGTTAACATGCCAGGTGTGCTAGATAGTTCCATTTGTTTGCTGTTGGTCCAGTTATTAACGAAGACTTGGCCAGTTCCGTTTTTGATATGATCTTCCTTCTTCGCCAAGCGGCGGAAGCAGACGGGACCGTTGAAGGATTTCGTAATATTCGAATCGTAAGCGACTGCCAAACACATTAGTCACCGCGCCAAGACGGAGAAAGCTGATGCCATCTTCGAAAGAGATGGCATCAAAAGACAAGATAATCTTAGGGGAAGAGATGTCGTGAGTGGTCCAGGGTTTAAGTCCCGGCTGAGCCCACCCTCTTTTTGGTACCCACTAGGTGGAGTTGTAAGGCCGTATGACCGGACTTTCGGAGGACAGCTTCGGGTAACGCGGTTCCGGCGGTGAGAAAAATATTTTTATGTGGACCGGAAATCGACTTGCAACATAGAGATACAGCTCATGACCCATAACACGTCTGCCGGTATCGGCAAATACGGAGCGTGTGGATGATACAGGGGGAAAATGAGGCTATCGTATTGGCATTAGAAAGGTTGTTGACATGAGCGATCTTGAAAGTAGCAAGAACTTCTAGATACTTCGTTAATATCTATGCGGCTTAAGTTGAGGTTCAGATCTACTAACAGCCAATATTGTAGATCTCCCAAGGCTTCCTCCTAATCAGGGCTGGGTCGACTGTTGACTCAGTTCAGACCATAGATATTGCAGGATGCGAATAGATGTCATGAGCGACAGAAATAAGGTAGGTAATGTTCGAATAGAATAGTTAGAATAGAAAATCGAGTCACGTTCACATCTATTCAACTAACGAATCCATCATTGATAGTAGATCAAACCCAACTAAATAGGTCCCCTCCAAAGATCCCCCTTCTTTCAACTCAACGTTCCTCCTATCCTCCCACCGCCTTAACCCCTCCGCTAGACCCCCCATCAGCTTCCTTGCCCAAGATGCAGCCTCCCCAACCCTTCCATTACCAGCATCCTCCTCGAAACTAACCCTACCATACCACCAGTCCAACCACTGCTCCGCCCGGGCGCCTTCAGACGCGGCCAGTAGCCCGACGCTCACGTCGACGATGCCCGGCCGCCAGCGGTCGTGCCAGAAGACGGTGGCACCACAGCGCGGGCAGAACTCGCGGAGTACGCCGGTTGAGCTCTCATAGCTCTTGAGAGTACCTGGTGGGAGGGTTTGGAAGTCGAGTGGCATGGGGGCAGACAACGACATAATAGTACTCCCAGAAGCGGGGAGGAAAAAGATGTTGCTCCGCGGCACAAACGCCCACGTCTGGATCTCGAAGCCGGAAGTCAGACGACAGGAGCGGCTGGCACAAGTACCCGCCATATACTTGGTCGGGTTTGGATGGCCTACCGGACGTAGCCACCATTTCTCGCCGCGGAGGTTGGTGATTTCTTCCTGCGGCGATATGGCGAACGGGGTTATGAGATCTGGGAAACCGGAGTGCGGGATCCTGCTCGAGGCATCGGGGCGCGTGATGTGAAAGCGTACTGTGCCGCAATGGCAGTGTGCATGGAGTATGTTTCCGCCATTTCCTTTGACTTCGCTTATTGTAGATGATGATGTTTCCCTCTCTTGTCCATGCTCCTCAAACTCGCGCGACTCTCCGACAGCCTCTATGAATAGGGATAATCCACCATCCCCGTTGCTATCTGTGCCAACATGCCTCGCATATCTCAGAAGAGGGGGGTTGTTGTTTTCATCATGATCTTCTACAGGTTCTCCATTAGCCTCAGCCCCGGTTCCGGCTCGTCCGATGATGATACCCGTAGCTACAGCCCACAGTCCATCGGCTCCCTCATCACCGCCGATTGAGCTTTGCTCGCGCTGGAAGACATGGCAGCCACAAGTGCCGCAGAAATAGCGCTGTACTTGTGTGGTACCATGGGGGACGTGGGGCCGGCCCACACCCCGTCGGGCCACCCTACCATGGGGGATGCACCCACGGGCCACCCCGTTTCTCACCAAAACACGATATTTTCACTTACACCGTTCTCAACGAATATCAAAGCTATCTCAATAGCTCCTAAACTGATCCATGGTTTCGAAGCTGCTCTACCTGCCACAATTTTTTTTGATTTTATCGGTGAAGGCTTGGTGGAGTTAGTCAGGAGTGAAGTAGCGGTAAAAATAAAGTTTTTTGGAGCTTTTAAGCCTCCTCAACCCCCCGACCTGTAACACAACGTCACATCACCAATATAGCCTCAATTGACTAGATAATAACATGCCCAACTATAATGAGGATGGCATTTCCAATGCTATACTTGAAGTTACTGTAAATGGCAAATATATTCGTACAGCTGCTGCAATGCATGGTGTCCCTCGTACAACCCTGGCTGCACGGATGGCAGGGCGGCCTTCCCTCGCAGAGGCCCACACCCCCTCCCGTTTGACCCCCGATCAAGAGATGAAGCTAGTTAACTGGATTATACTGCAGGAATCTATGGGATTTTCTCCCTCGCACTCTGTTGTACGAGCTATAGCTCAACACTATACGGCGATCAACGGTCAAGATTCCCCCATTGGGAGAAACTGGACTAAGGGGTTTATACGCTGGCATGATGAGATCCGGACTAAGATTGGTCGAACAGTCGAAGCTAAACGCTTTAGCGGGTTTACCCCTAAAGCTGTACACTGGTATTTCGATATTAGGGAGGAAAAATACGGCTTGATCCCCCCCGAGCTGACCTTCAACGTTGGTGAGGGTGGGATTATGGCGGGCCACGGTAGGACCTTGTTTTGACCTTGGTTGATTAGCTAATCTAATAGAGGCATATCAGGGCTTGATGGCTTAGTTATAGGGGCCGCGGAGACCAAGAAAGCCTTCGTAAAGAGCCCACAAAACCGTTGGTGGACCTCTTTTATAGAATGTATCAGTGCCACCGGAAAGGCTTTCGAATCTGGGATTATCTTTAAAGGGAAGGATCTACAGACAAACTGGTTTAAACGGGAGTCTGAAAGATGTGTTGGCTGGTACTTTATCACGCCAGAGAAGGACTGGACTGATAATGAGATCGCGGTTAAGTGGCTTAAGGGCTGCTTTATCCCACAACTCAACAAGATCCGCCCCAATCCCACGGATAAAGCCCTATTGATACTCGATGGACACAAAAGTCACACAACATTAAGATCAGACATTTTTCTACAAGCTCAGTTTTGTTTTGTATTTTTCCGATTTGTTCCTGATTTTTAATTGATGAGTGGAGCTGACCCCTTTTTTACTAGGATGAATTCATGAAAACGTGCCACCTCAACGATATATATCTTTACTTTCTCCCTGCACATACGTCACACGGGCTACAGCCTCTCGATAACGGTCCTTTTAATGCAGTTAAATCATTCTATCGCAAGCACTTATCCCACCTGAATCGCCTCACTGATGCAAGCCCTGTTGATAAGCTAAACTTCATCAAGTGCTATGACAGGGCTAGAAGAGAAGGACTGACCCCTAAGAACATCCAGGCTGGGTTCAGAACAACAGGGAACTGGCCAATCAGCAGGCTTAAGGCACTGACACACCCCGAGATCCACGAGGATAAAGAAAAGGTGCCACGCGTGTCACCGAAGGGCAAGGGGCCTGCTGGCCTGGATCACCACCTGCAGTCCCCTACTGTAACAGCTAAAGTGAGAGCGCTGGCAGCTACTAAGTCCCCTGCGACCCGGGCGGCCCTTAGGTCAGTATCGCTAGAGTTTATAAACGTGAAATCAGAGCTAGCGTTGCGAGAGGAGGAGATCAAGTCCCTAAGGGCGCAGCTGGAGGCTGCAAAGCCCAAGAAGAGAAAAAAGATCCCTAATCCAAACGCTAAGTTCATGACGATTTGCGAGATGCCTCATGAGCAAGGTAGAGCGGTCCCTAAAGCAAA